CTCTCTCTCTCTCTCTCTCCGCGCTAGTTGTCAACTCCAAAGTGTTTTTGAGCCTCCACTAACTGACTACTTTCGTCGCAATAACGACTCGGGTCACAATGTCGTGTTTACTAACGTTACGAAGGGAGGTAACAAGCGACAGCTGTGCCTGGCATGAGGTCAGACATTACGCCGGGCTTCCTGCCGAGTCTTCCGCTCATGGTCAAGGGTGGTCGCCCGCTGTCTCAACAGTGTCCATACAAGCAAATAAGGCCAATTATTATCACACCGGACTAGGCCAAGAGGTGACATTTCCAGTGGGTACTATAAACAGTAGTTGTGGAAATACAGGTCACAGTATTTACATTAAGAATAGTTGCGGAAATTTCGCGAAGCTTTTTCAGAGCGCTCAGGAAATAGTACATTCACTAACTGTGAATACGTGTCCACTTTTGTTGTGTAGCAGATAGGCGTATCGCCGCCATACGCAGAAGACATGACTTCGATTCCCGTGTTGGGAGAATTTTTAACGAGTATTTCGGTCTTTCTGCAGGGACGTTGTATGCCTCTCAGCACCCTGTTGGCCCTGATAGATGTAATCGAACCCCGCCTATTAAATGATCGAATTTGTGTCGACGGGGGCGTAAAACACCTACATTTTTTTTAAATGAACAAAACGGTATGTAACCGTAGTGAACACCGATGCAGAGAAAAGTGGACAAATCCTTAAATTGCTGGAAGAGCTGTCTCAAAAACAAGAGTGAGTATGCATGTGTGCTCATACATATGCGCGAATGTGTGTGTGTTTGGTTGGTTGGGAGGGGGGGGTGGAGAGAAGGAGGAAAAAGTTTTAAAAACTGAGAAAAAATGAAATCTCATTAACATTCTCGTATGATTAGAACTGGCACATTGCGTGCTGCTTCCATATTAGCAAAGTTGGCTCCGTGGCATCACTACAGGAGTTCTTTATGAGTTCCTTGAAGTAGAAACCTGTCTGTTCGTTTATCTGTGTGTATGCTTGAATATTTGTTTTAAAAATATAGCTTCAGGAAGGTGGATACTGGGTTTTAATTTAGCACTGAAGGTACAAGTTTCGACTTAATATGGGAGGAAAAAACTTGCTACTTAGTTAAAAAGTTCATAGGCGAAAGACGTGGTCAAGGCTTGCCGTGGTTGTCTCTCCTTTCTTGTCTCTACATGTCTCTCTGGGCGGGAGCTGTAACTGATAACAGGGTGTCCAGCGACAACGGGCGGGGAATGGACATCCTGCTGGGTTGCGAACTGCGACCTCCTAGGAAAAGTGTCTGGCCAGCTCACCAGGCGGCGCATTGACACCTTGACGCCTGGACAGAAGCCGGGTTGGCGGGAAGGAAAGAGGACTTCACGGCTCGCAGCCCGTTCAAAAGCGGTCTAGGCAGCTTGGCTAATGCGCTGCTGGACAATACAGAGGGACAGGCTGCCTTGTGCGCTTCGGTGGACTCGCATAGACGGAGTGATCTGTACGCGCCCATCGGCCCGCAAGAGGCCGCACGCCCCTTTTTGTTGGCAATGACTCAATTTGACTCTGTTGTCACTTCAACGCGGAAACTGTAATATTGCCCGCTGCTGCTGAGGTTTGGCGGGAGTGGTGTGATGTGGGGGCCATTGGTGAATGAAGGTGCAGGAAAATGGAAACGTGTTGTATTTTTGTTCTTTGTGTGTGTTTGGGTTTATGTGTGTGTATATGTGTGTGTATGTGTGTGTGTGTGTGTTTTGGTGTGTGTGTGTGTGTGTGTGTGTGTGTGTGCGTGTTTGAGCTAATACAAGAGACGTGAAAACAAATTCCCGCACAGAGCGAGAGAGAGAGAGCGAGAAAGAGAGAGAGAGACAAAGAGACAGGGACAGAGATACAGAGAGACAAAGAGACAGAGAAAGAGAGAGAGAGAGAGAGAGAGAGAGAGAGAGAAGGGGGGGAAATAGACAGAAAGAACGCTCAAGTACACACATTACCACACACACAAAAGTGCAAGTAAACAGCCACCTTAAATACAATAAACACACACACACATACACACACACACACACACACACACACACATACACACAGACAAACGCACACAAACACACACACACACGCTTGCACACACACAAAGTACAAAACGTCTTCAAAGAAACTAGTTAAGAACAACAAACACGAAAACCCAATAGGAAAAATACCCGCCCCCCCCCCAAAAAAAAAAAGATACAACAAACAATTATTAAAATGAAATTCCTACTCACTTCTTTATCTGCGTCACTGTTTGTTTTGAAACTGGTCAGCGGATGGCCTGATCCCGAGCTTGTATTATGCGAGTCACTCTCCTCGTCCAACGAAAAGCTCACTTCTTTCCTTCCCCTCTTTCCTAGATTGTTGGAGTTCGAATCCTCCATAATCCCGTCCACAGACGTCATGTTAGTGAAGAGATCCTGTTGTTTCTCCTGGTACATTTTCTCCTCATTTGTTTTCTGCTGGGCTCTGTTCGCCCGTCGCTCTTTCCCGATGCATCTCATGATGCAGATAGCGATTATTATCGCCAGAGCGACCACCACCGTAACGGCAATAATGATGGCAGCAATGAGAATATTTCTGTCGAGACTCCCATCGCCGTCAGCTGGAAATGTCCCGTTTATTCGGATATTCAGACGTTTCATATCGAAGTTAGGCGGGCTCCCTCCGTCTTGAACTTTTATCTTTAAATGATGAACTCGAATGTCTTTACGACCGATCATTCGAGCCAGGGTAAGCTTCCCTGTGTATCGGTTGAGATTAAAAAGCTCTTCTGGGTCGCCCTTTGCGATAAGAAAGGTGAGTTCTGAATATTTCGAAGCGGGATCATCACCGTCGTACGCGCGGATGGTGGTGATGACAGAGCCCACGGGTGATGCGTAATCCACGACCATGGTGCTGTTCTCCACAGTCGACTTGTGGATAATGGGGTCGTGGTCATTGTCGTCCAGAATGCGGACAGTAAAGTTGCAAATGGCGTAGAACGCTGGATTCCTGGCGTCCTCCGCCCTGATTTTGAACCGGTACTGGTCTCTGTCCTCGCGGTCGAAAGCGACGGTGCTGCGGATGATACCAGTGACGCGGTTGATGCTGAAGTTGTCGTAGTCGCTGCCTTGTTTGACGATGGCGTACACGACCGTGGCGTTGACGCCAAGGTCAGGGTCGACCGCCGTGACGTTCCCGACGCTCGTGCCCACCGGCTGGTTCTCCAGCACGTCGCCGTAGTACACGGGTCTCGGGAACTCGGGCGGCTCGTCGTTCTCGTCCTCCACGTTGATGACGATGAGGGAGGAGTTAGACAGCCTGTCGGGGCTGTTGTCTCGCGCGATCACGTGGAATTCGAACACTGGTGTCTTTTCTCTGTCCACAGGCCGCGTGATGTAGATCTGGCCCGTCCTGTCGTTGATGGTGAACAATGACGCGTATTTATTCTCCAACGAGTACGAGACTCTGCCGAACTCCCCGCTGTCCCCATCGTAAGCCGTGACGTTGACCACATTCCTGGTGCCTAGCGTGTTCTCAACAATCCGCCCGTAGTACGTGGCGTGAGTGAACTTCGGTCGGTTGTCGTTCTCATCATTCACGTTCACGACAAACGTCTTCACGCTGGACAACTCCGGCTGACCGTTGTCCATACATTCGATGGACACTCTGTAGCTTGGGGCCTGCTCGTAATCCAGAGGTTTAGCCAAAACGACTTTATACTGATTGGCCTGTAGACTCTGAAGCCTCTGCAGGGAGAAATGAGGCTCGTCGAGATCACAATACACTATACTATTGACACCTTCATCAATATCATTGACCGTGACCTGAACGATAACGGTGTCGATGCCAGTGCTTTCGGACAAATACACGTCGTTGGACGAAGGGTTCACGTTGATTTCAGGAGCATTATCGTTGACATCCCGAATGTTTAAGATCACTCTTACAGTGGCCGTCTTCGGGGGCGACCCGTGATCTACGGCCAGGACGGAAAATAGGAACTGTTGGTCCTGCTTGTTTTCGTAATCGATCTCCTTCTGAATAATTACCTCTCCGGTGTGTTCGATGATCTTAAGCTTCTGTCGAACATCGCCCGAGACAGACGACCCGAATTTGTAGGAAATCTCGGCGTTCTGGTTGATATCGTCATCCCGCGCCGACACCTGTAACACCGTGACGTTGACGGGTAGGTTCTCGTCGATCGTCTGGTTGTACACAGGTTTCAAAAACTCAGGCTCATTGTCGTTGATGTCTGTCACGGTTATGTTAACGACCATAGAGTCAGACTTCGGCGGGGTACCCCCGTCTTTCGCCGTAACAGTTACTTGGTAGAAGTCTCGAATTTCTCTGTCCAGCACCTCTTTGATTACGATGCCGAGGTATGAAGACCCGTCCGGATTCTTGCCCTCTCTCAGGAAGAACGTGTTGGACGGGTCTCTGAAGCTGTACTGCTTCACGGAGTTATTTCCCGTGTCTTTATCCACGGCCACACTGATGTAGAGCATGTCACCAACCCCGTTACCTTCCGGTACACGAAGCTCTAATGATTCTGTGGGGAATTCAGGGGCGTTGTCGTTAATGTCGTCAATAACCACGATAGCTGTGATAAACGTGTAAAGACCAGTTCCACTGTCGCTATAAACCGTTATTTCAGTAGTCAGCTTACATTCTTTCTCTCGATCCTGACACACAGCTTCGCGGTCTATAGTTCTAAACGAATGAAGTTCTCCGCTGTTGGGGTCGATGGTGAAATACTGTATGTCTCCCTCGTCGATCCCGAAGCTTAGCTTCGCAAACTCTGACGCAGTCATGGAGGCCCGTAGGCCACTCTCCACTGCCACGTTGCCCACGTAAGAGTTCGGACCCTTCTGCTCCTCGAAATGGAACCTGATCTCGGTCAGGACGTCGGCTGACGACTCTGACCACGTGACCATGATGACGACACACACCATCAACAGTTTCGAAGGGAACCTCATCCGTGCTCCAGAAGGCTCCATCATGCTCTTAAGATGTCGGAATTTCCTCAGATATTCGAAACCCCAAGACTTAGATCGTAAGACATTTTACAAAATGTCGACAATGGCTATCCTTAGAATTCGCAGTTTTAAGACACTAGCTAGACTCGAATATAGTCTGTTATTTTCATGACTGCCGCTTTTCTCCGTAGTAATTTATAACTCTGAGCAGTGCGACAGTTCAAGGACTCGTTGATACTGGGTGTGCTAGACACCACAGACAGGTAGGCCGTTTTAGCAGCAGTTTGATACTTGAACTCTGTACCACAGAATTCTACACTCCGCTATCCAGACTCCTTTGAATACCAGGAACATGACACATACCGTACCCTTTCGATAAGTCCATACTTCTGGAGGCAGATTTCAGACAACAGAATATGTCGGCGTCGTGATAGATGACACGACTATGAACCAAGAGCGCATGCTCTTCCCATCTAAAAAAAAAAGAAAAATAATTAGAAAAAAAATACCAAAAAGACTAAGGTCGTAACCGAGGAGCAGTGCTGAGGGGTACTGTGACTAATGATGCTCCTCGTGTGCCCTGCTGAAGTGTCAGACCCCAGGCAGGATAGTCTCCCCTGATGGCTGGAACGTAGGCTTGGCAGGACCCATAATCCGCTGTTGACATCCGATCATCTCCTTTAATTGGTTGGACATGCACGATGCCTCATTTCCTGTTAGGGGATGTGGGGTTGCGGGGGTGGTACAGGGAGAAATGGGAAAAAAGAAAAAAATGTTTAAGAGTCGAATTCAATTTGCAGTGGCTTGCTGGGAACCCGCTGGTTTATTTAAAGAAGGGGAGAATGGGGATGAGTGAAAGAGCGAGATTTCCAATGAAGGGAGGACGGGCTATGTTTTCTTTTGTCTCTTCCTTTCAAACAAAGGATGGAGATAAAGGGAGACGGGAAATCAGCTGGAGAAATGGCATGTTGCAGCACGTCTTGGGCTAACAATGAGGGTCATGGCTCTACCCTGGTAATTAATGGGGAGTGAAAGAAAAGAGTGGATTTTCCCTGCATCTCCTGAAAGCCTGTGTAGTTGTTTTTTGTGTGTGTTCTTTTTCTTGTACTCTCAGGGAAGAGAAACTGCTTGCAAACAAAACTTTTCTCAGTGGGTGGGTGGGTTTAAG